TTTATGGAAATTCATTGATCTGATGGAATTTGCTGTTAGGGTCAAATAATTCATGTTGGAACCCCTGAAATTCGCAGCGTGTTTTAGTAAGGCCAAACTTTTCCTTTGGCTAGTTGATATATTTCGAAAATTTGAGTGTGTGCGAGTTATTTATTTTAAGAATTGGCTGGATCTAACCAGCTGTACTCTTTTCTAACTGGGCGGAGATTTACTTGTAAAATATGACAAAAATATGGGGTTATCGTAATACATATAAAAGTTGATGGATGTAATTGCGGAAATATCTGATGTCAGCTATTTCTAGTCACACCACCAACACACGTGCTAAATGTTCGGCAAGTGCAACCTCAAGGGTGGGCTTTTGTAAATTATTTTTCTTTCGTTGGGGCCTGGGATCGGTGTTTTGGGGGAGGGAGGTCAATTTGACCAAAACGTTGGATGCTTCGTGTAATTATTTTTTTCTTTGACTTGGATGTTTTGTTTCAACAATTAGGCGACTCCTAATCACATTTTGCAAGTTGGAAGCTGTATTATCTGGATAGCTTGGATTCCTTCAATCTAATTTTATTATTTAGTCTTTAATTTTATTTGGTTGATTGCCTTTACAGATACTTTTTTACTGAAAATTGATCGTCACTCGTGTGCTGCAGATGGATTTGAATGCAAAACTAGATCCGGAAGTGGAAGACCTCCTTTTGGAGATGGCTGATAATTTTATTGACTCGGTGAGGCTCGCATTCTTAGATTTGCACTTTATAAATCATTATGGGTTATTATTTTTTGCTTTCTTGACTCATTATTAACTAATATGTGTTTTGTGTTTTCTTGGTACTTTGTGCCTCTTTAGACCATTTAAATGATTTGTGAGAGGAGTGGCTTGTGCATGCCAGTAACCATCACCTTTGGCCGATTATTGTTTAAGCAGTAATTACACTCTCACCATTTGCTGATCTCTCTGTTCTTGTTTTGTGTAGGTTACATCATTTGCTTGCACTCTAGCAAAGCATCGGAAATCATCGACATTGGAAGCAAAGGATGTGCTGCTGCATCTAGGNCCTCTCTGTGTGTGTGTGTTTGTTTTATTGTTTTCTTCTTTTCTTTTGTCACTAGTACAGAGCCCGTGCGATGCACGGGATGCGCAATTTTAAGGCTATTTATCCAGGCTTATAATTATATACATGAATAAGAAAAATGTACGGGATATATGATATATTTATTTGGAGAATATTATATTATAAGATGCAATATTCAATAAAAGTGTATAATACGCAAGAAAATTGTACAATGTTCAATAAAAGTTTTATAATATTGAAGTGTAGTCTTAAAGTCTCTTGTACATTAAGACTACTGACAAAATAATATTTTAATCAATGAATTTCCTTTCCTTGTAGCCAAATTGTGAATGTGATTTGAAGAGTACAACAAATCGATATATAGCTGACTTGCTTTTTTCATTTTGGTTTTTTTTTCTTTTTTATTTATAATGAATTTAAAGATATTTTAAAATATAGCAAAAATTAATTTTTTATTACAATTAGGAATTTTACAAAATATAAACTCTCAATTTATGGTGTTAATCAATGTTTAAGTCTAAAAAATTAGGAATTTTTACCTCTTTTAATTAACGTTTAAGTCTAAAAAACAATAGAGTTATTATAAGTTTTTTTTTTCTACATCTTTTAAAACATTAAATATGAGCATGTTAGGGCTAGCTTGTAAAATAATTAATATATTATCTCAGTAAAACATTTATACTAATAAAAATTTAGTTTTAGCATATAAATTTATCCCTTGATATAAGAGAAAGTAACAGTTTTACTTATTGTTGTTCACCATATAATATTTAATTATTATTTTATTATATAATAAAAAAAAATATTGTTAAATAGTGTAGTAGAATTGTTATAAAATTATATAATTTTTTTACAATATAGATTTAATATTTTTTTATGATTTGATAATATAAACAAATCTATACTTAACTTTGACAAATAAAACAAATAAATACTTTAGTAAGTATTTAATGTATATACTAAATAGGAATGTATTTGGTATAATCAAATACCAAATATAATCAAACAAGTCAAAGTGTACATTTTTATTTGGTATTTGATTTTTTTATTATTAAAATCTTTTTATTATACTTACCTTTTTAAAATAAAACAAATAAATAAATCAATTAAATAAATAAAATATTATAATATAAAAATAGTAATGACATTTAATGCAGTTGACTTTTCTAGATAGTAAATGTAGTAAATAGAATCTCCTTTTATGTAAGTATAGATTGTATAATACGGAAATAGTAATGCAATAAATGTTGTTGACTTTTCTTTATACTAAATCTGGTAAATGGTATTACCTTTTAATATAAGTATAGATTATTATTATTTTTTATTGTTTCAATTTACATGGTTCACTGAATAGTAAGTGTAGGAATGCTGACCAAGCAACATTCAAATCTATTTTCCAGACAGCCCAAGCAGCGTTTTCATTTCAGAACTATCCTCTCTCTCATAACTTACTCGTGAAACAAGCTAGACGAGAGTTGCTTTCGTTTTCCTTGAAATATTAAAATGTTCGAGATTTAAACTTAACAAACATGTGGATGTCATAAGATTCTCGTTTTTTGAACTAACGATAAAAAGTTGTTATGCATCAGGCTAATTGAATGTGGTGACTTTTTGTGCAGAGAAAAACTGGAATTTGATGGTTCCAGGGTTCTCAAGTGAAGAAAAGAAACATGTTTCTGACCATGTAAGCTTTTATTTTTTCATGTATTCTAGTTTTGTATAGCATTTATAAATCAAGAAACGAGGTCTTGTTGTGGCTTCAACTATAACAACCTGTTAAGAACTATGTAGCAGATTGAATGATGGATAAGGTTACTAATAACATTTCATACTGATATTTGCTTAATTGCATCAAATAATACATTTTGAAATTAGAAATTTTTCAAAATCCACACATCCCAAAGTGAAAGGTTAAACATGGCTTTGCCTCTGGTGAATGTGATGATGGTGCTTCATCCAAGTCCTTGATTAGCAATTATTGAAAATTCATTCATTTATATTTTGACTCTTGATTGAAATGACTTGCAGCCACCAACTGATGTCCACAAGAAGCGTCTGGAAGTTGTAAGTTCTCTTACTTCATAATGAAAATGGATATCGAAAATAAAATAAAACCCCCAGAAGTTTACTCTAATTAGGGAAATCAAACGCAAATGGCTCTTTGATAATTGTTAATGAAATGAAGGATTTGTGATACCTCAAGTTGCAATTTTGAAAGACAAATTGAGTGCATTCTTGGATACAAGTATTTAAAAAGAAAAAAAAAAATCAGTCTCAACTCAAATCTCTAACTCAACTTTAACTTAATCCCACAATTTCAATATTATCAATATAATTAAATAATATTATTCAGTCATTCTTACACATCACATCAACTTTAACTCGCTATTCATCTACTTACATAATTTTAACTAACCATCACTTCCAATCAACTCTTCTACTTTTACATCAATCAACTTTAATTAATTTATTTTAAATCTTATTTTAATACAAACTCAAAATCCGACTCAAATTTAAGCCTGGTTAACCAAAAAAACTAATTAGGGTATTACCTTCCCTTTCTGGATAACATTTGACATAATCGTGCTGCTACTCAGATACGTAATTTGATGGAGCCGGTACAGCCCGAGGCGAATAAGCAGATAGGTAGGCAGGGTCCCACCAATCAGGTTGGCCAGAACCAGATGATAAGGCCTTCTCCAAGTTCAGAGCAGCTGGCTTCTCAACCTCCCATGCCTCAGATGTTGCAACAGACAACAAGATTCTGATAAGGTCAATAATTACCGTAATAATTGTAGTAATAAATTGTATAATAATAAATTTATATCGTATATATATAGTTGATTTCAGGTACACCTATTACCTGTTTTCCTTACAACTTGCATTATTGGTGGGAAATACTGAGGGCGTGCTTGTTTACAAATTAATCCGCTCAAAATGAGTTTTTTTGATTTAACCGGAGTTAATTTTTCAAAAAAGGTGGTATGGTTAGTTAGTGGGATTTTGAGTTTATATTAAAATAATATTTAAAATAAAATAATTAAAGTTGATCTGATGTAAAAGTATGAGAGAGATGATGTGAAGTGATGGTTAAAATTATGTGAGTTGATGAATAGTGAATTAAAATTGATGTTATATGTAAGAATGATTGGTTTGTACTATTTAATTATATGGATAATATTAAGTACATTTGGGTTGAGTTGAAGTTGAGTTAGATTTTGAGTATGAATTAAATGCGAGTGCATTATTTTGTAAACAAGCACCCCCTAAATTAGCCTTGTTTTTCTCCGTTTAACACTCAAAGGCTATTTGTTTCATAATACCCTACAAAAATATGTCAATTTCCAATGAAAACATAAGTTGTGACTTCTTATTGCTTTCACAGGTTTAAGGGCAGAAATGTTGGCCTCCAATTGCTGCTTCCAATATGTGCATATCATATTTTGACAGATTGGCTTCTTGGAGGATATATATATTCTATTATTATTATTATTATTATTATTATTATTATTATTATTGGCCTCATGGGGGCTGATTACTTGGAGTTTTACATTTAAATTGGAATATTTATCAGATTCTTCAGTTACTTTTTAACTTAGTATCAGCTGCATTTGCAATTTGTCTGAATGTTTAGGGCTTCATTGGCCCAACCTTTTCTTGTGTGTATATATCTCGTTTTTTCGTGGGTAATCGTGGATGAGCCTCTGCATTTGATGGAGTAACCATGCAAGCTATTTTTCAAATGTTGGCCTAAAAGTGTGTGTGTGTATATCAAGGTTTGCTTTGAACAAGGAAAACAAAAAAGTAGGGTTTTTGTGGTTAAAGGTTATTTAAGTTGTCTGTATTTCTTTCTGCTATGCTGCTACTTCACGTGTTTAAAGGTACATTTTGTATGAAATTCTGAACCTTGTCTACAATGACAAGGTTTCTCTTTCACTCTAATTTTATTTCATTATGAAAAAAAAAAAAGAAAAAACAGAAGAAAATATCTAGAAACATGAAGAAGAAGACATACCCAGTCTTCATCACTTATGAGTTTATAANGATAGAGATTTAGAAAAAAAAAAGGAAAAAAAACACAGAAATGTACAAACAAGAAATATCCTCCAGCTGAATGAAATAGGTAAAAAGCTAAATAAAAAAAGAATGATAGTTCCATCTAGAACTTAAGCTAGCAACACAATAAACAATTACAAAGATCCAATAATGGAGAATTGTCGATCTCACCTAATAAATGTTCCCACCCGATGACAAATACAACTCAAAACACAACACTAAAACACAAACAAAACCAAACTCACTTAAACCAACAAGCTAAACAAAATAAAAGCAAAAACCCTTCCCACAACAGTCAAATCAAGCCAGCACGAAGTACTAACATAATTCACGCCGACCACCCCAACATGTCCAATTTGCTAGGCAGACACTTCCAACAAATATACACATTTTTATATTCAAATGCCATACTTTAAAATAATACAAACAAAAATATAATATTTTACAATATAGATATGTATTTTCTCTAAGAAAATATGATTGCTCACTAATGTCTTTACAGTATCTGCAAGGAACAAGAAGGGCCATAGAAATATTTCTGCTTTTCCAAACCACACCCATATTTTCCAACTTTTGCATTGCGGCTACCTAGCTTAGGTTTTATGTTTTTTATTTGCTTGACACCCTAACTCAAGCAAACAAGAAAAATCCTTTGAAAATGCATTAACTTCGAGGAACGAAAACCGAGGTTTTCTCATGTTGCAGAATGGCCAGCAGACCAGAGGGAAAGCTGCCACAACAAGACGACCCCATATTCATAGATTCTTATTGAAAAATAACACACCAAAAAACAAAAATTCTAAACTAAAACAGTAAACAATAATGATAATAATAATATAATAATAATAATAATTATTATTATAAAAATAATAATAATAAAGAAAGACACGCTTTTGCATGAAGGATTATAACTTGATCATGATGACCAAATTAATATATATACACATATGTATATCATATATGTATCCATGTCCCTATCTATATCTAGTGTGTGTAGTACTGTGTGAGATTGTAAATTACATTTAATAAAAACAAATAAAATAAAGCCTATGTCCTTGCTTTTTGCTTTGGAATTTGAGCTTGAACCTTTCCCCACTGAAACGTATAGGATGATCCCGAGTGTTCTGTATTGTTGTACGAACAATTGTAAAGTTTGTAATTTGCGGAAGCGACAATCAAAGATTTAAAACACTCTTCAGGGAAGTATCCCACTTCCCCTCAAAGCTCTTTCATTGATAACTATTGAATACATAGTTTGGATTTACAAAATAGAACTCCCTTCTATTCTAACCACAACTATGATCTAGCCTATCAATTACTTCTCCGGCCACGTCCCGTGGACTTATTTTTCACACTTACTCCCTAAGTGTAAATGATCAAAAAGTTCAACTCAGAATAATTGAAAACAATACAATCAAAATGGTATCAGTTTCTCAAAGATCGAATCAATTAAGAACTGAACCGAAACAAGAACAAAATGAAACAAGTAGCCAACGTGAAACTTGAAGCTTGAAGGAGATAAATGATTGCCCTAGTTTCAGCAGCCGCCTTCAACCTTCAAGATCGGTTTTTATATCATCTCATAGGTCTCCCACAATCCTTGGTCTCTATATGGCATGTCCCCAAAGTCCTACCATGTAAAGGACTCTTCTTCTCTCTCCACATATTCTCTTGCCTTACTTATCCAAAGTTTTCCTTTTCTTTCGTGATGTGCCATGCGCGTGAAGCTCCTTTCCTATAGCATCAATATCCTACAACACGTAAACAAATCATAAGAGCAAATATAATAGGAACTAATTTTGGTAACAAAGACTTCCCTTACTAAACATGGCAGGAACTTCTTTAACTTTTCGAACTTATGCCAAAATATATCTTTCAATCTCCCCCTTTGGCATCTAGTTCGAAAATTTCCTGCAAGACATAAACAACAAGAACTCCACAGATACTGCAATAGATCACTAGTTCTACTGATTAGTTCCTGCAAGCAAGAAATAATTAACTGCATCCATAAATCACCTAAAAACGAAGTTCATCACAAAAGTCACACAAGCAATAGGCAATGTAGCAGCACAGCACAAAATAGATGAAATACGAACGAGGTTCTTTAATACATAAAGACCTCACTACATCCCTCCACACACATCCTAAGCAACTAGATCGCGCAGCAACAAACTTCAATCAGAGTTAGACTCTCCCCCTGAATCAGAGGAATCCTCTTCAGCTTCAGAATCATCTCCATCTTCATCTTCATCAGAACCCTTAGCCTTCTTCTCCCCCTTTTTCGAACTACGGGATGCCGAAGGGCCAGTCCCCGAGTTTTTGCGCTGCAGTCCCTTGACAGCCTGAAGAACCTGACGAAGATAAGCCTGCTGAGTAGCAACCTTTTTGGCCACAGCGTCCCACTCAGCTAGCTGCTGTACCAAGAATTCATCCCATTTGGTGGGAACCAGGGAAGGAGCAAGATCAAACTTGGTCTTGGGAGCGGCCTTCATACTCAACGTGCGAGCACTCACAATAAAAGCTTTCCCAGGGTTCTCAAGAGCATCATTAAATCGAGGGTTCACAGAGAAATGATTAGCAGCAAGGAAGGACCAAATTAAGCAAGGAAAGGGAAGAGTACGACGAGAATCGGAATTAATGATGAAAGAGTGGATAATGTCAAAGACAACCTCACCAAAGTTGAACACCTGCCCATCCATGATCCAATAGATGACTTTGCTCTGAAGTTCAGTGAGCAAGTTCTTGTTGGAGGTAGGTGTCCAATTTCCAGCACCAATCTTATGAAGAATGTTCGCGGTAAGGCACAAGCAACTCACAGGCAAATTCGAACCAGGCCAAGTATCAAGGTTTTTATCAGAAAGGGTTTGGGTAACAACATCAAGATCAACTTCAGACAAAGATGGCACATCAGCAGGTAAACCCAAATGCAAGTTCAAAAGCTCAGGAGAGAAATCAATGACTCTATTTCGAAGAAAGAGTTTGTGAAAACGAGGGCTACCAGGGGTAAAAACAACAGGGGTTAAATTAGCAAAAAATTCTCTCACAGCTTGACCACAGAAAGGGTGAAGATTAGTGACGGTTTTAGACAAACCCACAGCATCAATGAGCTTAACAATACCCAAATCCTCATACTTCGCATCTCCAAGAGGATGTTCAGCCCAAAAACCATAAGTAGAAAAATCTTCAAAACGACCAAAGGCAGCTTGAGTATAGAACCTGTTCGAGTAGGCGTTAGACAAGTCATAGTCGTCATCTTCAGGTTCTTGTTCAACAGGAGCGGTTTCCATAGGCTCTTTACCCGCACGCCTAGCGGACCGACGGACAGATTGTCGGCGAGGAGGAGTCTCTTGGTCGGAGCGAACTTCAATGGCTGTACCAGCAGTGTCGGATTTGTCACCTTCCTTTGTGGTCGACTTTGTTCCAGAAGTGGGAAGTGCCGAAGACTCCCCCTGAGTGGTGCCGGCCGCGATGTCTTGAAGCAACTGAGGCGAGAGAACAGGAATATTTGTAGACATCGGAGAGGGTTGAGGAGCTTCAGTTTCGGTGTCCGCCTTTGCCGGAGATGGAGTCGGGGTAACAGGTAGTGCATCCTGTGGCTGAGACGATTCCGGAGGCGGCGACATACGAGGCGAACTAGGAGCGACTGAATACCGACGCCGCTTCGATCCCTTGTCCTTGTGCTTCTTATGGCGTTTCTTCGACTTATCTTTGCTACCAGCCATGGATAACAAATGAAGGTGGGGAATTGGAAAAACTAGGGTTTGGGGCAAAATGAGAGAGAGAGAAAGACGAAAGAACAAGATGAGAAATAAAAGAAGGAGAGAGAGAGAGAAGTTGCGTGTAGGTTTAAAGAAACTGTCATAGATAACTGCAAAAGGCACGTTCCACAATTCAAGTTAATTGGAGAGAGAAAGAGATTGGGCGGTTTTAGGAAACTAAATCCCTTCCAAAACCAAATTCAAACACATCACAACTTCCCACAATAATAACTTCCCATTTTATTTCGAAAATTAAGTAGGAAAATCCGATTTTATGCCATCATATGTACTACACAAAATATATGAGACCCAAATAACTCAAATTCACCAAGGAAACCACATGATTTATGCCTAAGGATGAAAAAAGAATGACCAAAATCACGCAAGACACCAAGATCAACAAAATTCATTCCTATTCACCTATAACGAGATTCATGCTTAACTAATCCAAAATGATATTGTGTCACCAACACACCAAGGAACAAAACAGCGGCGGAATATAAGTATATATATATATGTAGTGCAAGTCATATCTCTCCAGAATTCTAGCACCGAAAGAACATGAGCTTTATTATTCACTAGGTGTTTCACTTAGTAACAATCACTGCAATAGTGAAAGTCAACCCCACTACTTTACCCAATGATTTTAAGCAACACATTCACACCGAGGTGTTTCACTTAGTAACAATCGCTGCAATAGCGAGAGTCAACCCCACTACTTTACCTCAATGCTCGATGAAGAAATATTATTATTTTTTTATTTTTTTTTTTTTTTTTTTTTTTTTTTTTTTTTTTTTTTTTTTTTTTTTTTTTTTTTTTTTTTTTTTTTTTTTTTTTTTTTTTTTTTTTTTTTTTTTTTTTTTTTTTTTTTTTTTTTTTTTTTTTTTTTTTTTTTTTTTTTTTTTTTTTTTTTTTTTTTTTTTTTTTTTTTTTTTTTTTTTTTTTTTTTTTTTTTTTTTTTTTTTTTTTTTTTTTTTTTTTTTTTTTTTTTTTTTTTTTTTTTTTTTTTTTTTTTTTTTTTTTTTTTTTTTTTTTTTTTTTTTTTTTTTTTTTTTTTTTTTTTTTTTTTTTTTTTTTTTTTTTTTTTTTTTTTTTTTTTTTTTTTTTTTTTTTTTTTTTTTTTTTTTTTTTTTTTTTTTTTTTTTTTTTTTTTTTTTTTTTTTTTTTTTTTTTTTTTTTTTTTTTTTTTTTTTTTTTTTTTTTTTTTTTTTTTTTTTTAATAACATTATGCACTACGTTTTTTATGAGAATGACCACCTTATAACTCCAAGTAGAAAACACCACACAATCAAGTGTAGTGGTTGTCAATAGCTACCACCCTTCACACGTTTTCTGTCCATGACGCTCTTTTCACAGTCGATCCAAAAGGGAAACGAACCATGTGCTAGCTATCGCTCTAGATCATTATGTGAAGGCAGCTCTTGTTGACAGAAATAAATTTGTTCCATGGCATAAAGTAACACGCAATCAATCAAGGACAATCAACACTTCACCCAGTTACAAGAGAGTCGGAACTTCATTTATGACTTGGTGGTGGGAGACAATGCAGCAATGCAAAGTATGTCTAATGCAATTAGAACCTAAGTGCTTACAGGCAATGCAATATATAGTAATATATATAGTATACAATACAATATAATATAATGCAAGTTCATGCAAGCATTCAAGGAGTGCACATCCCTAAGGATTTCCTTAGAGAAATGAACCGCTGGGAATCGAGAGCTTTGGTGAATATATCAGCCAGCTGGTTTTGTGTTGGCACATAATCAAGAATAATCACCTCATTTTCTACCAAATTTCTAATAAAATGGTACCGTATATCTATGTGTTTGGTTCTGGAATGCTGAACTGGATTCTTAGAGATATTGATAGCACTGGTGTTATCACAATAAAGGTTTATGGTTCTTACCTGAAGGCCAAACTCCACCATCATTTGTTTCATCCACACAAGCTGGGAGCAGCAACTTCCAGCTGAGATGTATTCGGCCTCCGCGGTAGACAAAGCC